CGGGCCCGCGTCCGCCCCGCGGCGTCGGTCCCGCAGGCGCCTGGCCCTGCGGCGCTCCGGGGTGGGCCTCGGACCCTGCGGCCTTTCCGACCTCCTGGATGTCTCAGCTTGCGGGGCTTTTTGTTTTTGGCCACTTCAGCTCCCTCATTGTTTCTGATGGTTAGCGCTTTGTGATCTGTGTGTAAAACCTGTGCATCCCAAGGCCGTGGAAGTGTTTTCATACCCTTTCTTCGGACATCTTGTTTGTTTTAGCCTCCCAGTCACGTCTGTGCTTTGTCTCTAATCGTGTGTATGGTGTGAGGGAGGAATCAGCATCCACCCGTTTTTTGGTGAACAGTGAACTGGGCTTTTTATCCTGATTTTTTTAATCTAAAGTCCATTTTCTCTGTTGGTCAAAATGACCCTGTGGGGTTTTTTGGGGTTTTTTTTTTTCAGCTGGCAGTTTTGAGATTGCATTTTATCTTCTGATCATTTTTGATGCTTGAGCCCAAAAGTAGGGGGGTGTCATGTGCAAAGGGTTTTGATCCAGTTATTTTGGACCCAGTAGATTTTGATCCCAAATTGTTTTCTTTGTTTTTTAATCACAGGGAATACTTTTTGGACCTTGATGGTGGATCTTTTGACTCCATCTCTTTTCTTAAAAACAAACAAAACACAAAAGATCCCTAGCAACTGTCTTAACAAATGTGTGAATAAAAAGCCACATTTATTTATTTATTTTGTATATATATAGTTTTTGTTGAAGTATAGTCAGTTTGCAATGTTGTGTCAATTTCTGGTGTACAGAAAAGCCACATTTATTCATTGTTATCAGAAAAGCATTTTTCTCTCCATGCCTCTGTTTACTCACCCATTTAATGGAAATAATAGTTCCTAGTCCTCACATGACCATTAAATGGTTTAATTTCTGTAAGTGACAGGACAGTGATCGTACAAGCCGTTAGCGAATGGCAGCCAAGAGTGCTCTTTTTCCAGGAATGTGCTCTTTTAAACCGATTAAGTGTTTGATTACTTCTTAGAATTCACAATCCAGCCTAAGTGTACTCATCTTCATATTTATTCTCCAAATTTTCCTTTCTCTCATGAGCACTTATTTTTGGGGTAAATTTTGCAAGTCTGATTTGATTCATCAATCAGTTTAGGGCTTTTAAAAAAATTATTGTTCGTGTGTATCCAGTCTGTACCAAGTAGAACATAAGATTATAATCCGTTTTCCCGGAGCTGTTATTTCCATAAAGGCCAGTGTTCCCCCCAGGATCAGTTTCTGCAGATCTGACATTGCTCTGATCTCGATACTTCTGTGAAAATGCAGTCTTCAGGTTTTGGACGTTTGTTCACTTTTCATCCAGATTCTTCTGTTTTTCCTTCACTTTGTAAGAAATCTACAAAGCTTCATACCCCTGGCAGAGAAGAGAACATTAGTTATTTGTAATAATAATAGTAACAACAATTTCACAGGCTTGAATGTCGCACCCACTGCGTGCCAGGCACTGTTCTAAGCCTGTTCCTCATTTTTGCTCATCCTACCCTGATGACCACCCTGTGAAGTGGGGGCTCTTACTCTCCTCACTTTGCAGATGAGGAAATTGAGGCACAGAGCTTACGTCACTTGTCTAAGGTCACACAGATTGGCAGAGTCACGATGTCCATAAGTGCCCAAGGGAATGCAGAACTTCCCTGAAGCAGTTTCCTTGAGGTCAAATGGGCTTGAAAGTCCTCAGGCCCAAATAGAAGGGTCAGAATCTTTGGGGTCCAAATGTCCTCGGGGTCACACATGGGCTTGGGCCGCAGGTGCAGCGGGAGGCGCTGTTCATGAAGAGTGAACGGCACGCGGCTGAGGCCCAGCTGGCTGCGGCGGAGCAGCAGCTGCGCGGGCTGCGGACCGAGGCTGAGCGGGCACGCCAGGCCCAGAGCCGCGCGCAGGAGGCCCTGGAGAAGGCCAAGGAGAAGGACAAGAAGGTGGGCCCCCTTCCCTGTGCTCAGTCGGGGTGTCCTCCACTCAACAGAGGTTGAGGGGAGTCTACGGACGTCCCAGCTGAAAGGGTCTTGGGAAATCAGCCCTATTTTCCTGATGAGCCAACTGAGGCTCCAAGAGGCCAGGTGAGTGGCTCAGAGTCACATGGCACATCACTAGACAGTGGATGGGCCCCAGGGCTCCAGGTGCTTTAGCACAGAGTCACCCAGCCCCAACTTGTGTGACCTTGGACAAGTCACTTGACCTCTCTGAGTCCCAGTTTCCACCTCCCTAAGATGAAGAGAAAACTGTGGTAAGGGTTATGGTTTATTTGTAGCAGGGCTCTGCCCCCTCAACAGCGGTGACACTCTGGGCTGGGCCAGTGTCTGTGGGGGACCATCCCGGGCTCTGTGGGGCGTGGGGCAGCATCCCAGGCCCCCACCCCCTCAGTGGCAGGATCAGCCCCGTCGTGACAACCACAGATGTTCCCAGATACTGCCTGGCGTTCCCTGGGAGGTAGGCTCACCCCTGGTTGAGAACCTCTGATCTATAAAGATAACAATAAAGCCCAGCACTTATTGAGCACCTGCTGTTTGCCGGCACAGCTTAAACTTCGCCTCTGTTCAGAATCACAGCCACCTACCAGGGTCCAAGTGGGAACCGTGATTCTCCTTACTTTACAGATGAGGGGGCCGAGGCCCCGAGGGGTCAAGTCATCTTCCCAAAATCTCCTGTGAGGAGGCGACTGAGAGGGACTGAAACCCCAGCCTGTGTGGCCCAGCCCCACCCGGCTGGGCTGCTTGCAGCCCTCCTGTCCTGTCTGCCTCCCCCTTCACTTTCCGGAGCCTCCGAGGTGGGGTGTGACCACCATTTTTCTGTAAAGGGCCGGGTGCTCGGTGCTTTCAGCCCTGCAGGGCAACAGCCCTCCGCTCTGCCTTGGAAGCGGGAGCCATAGATGCCGGGTAACCGAATGGGCGTGGCTGTGTGCGAGGGAAGTTTACGTTTGAGCAGGGAGATGTGACTCTGGCTTCAGGTTCCTGTGTCCTGAAGCCGTCTTCTTTCCTCTTTTTTCCCAACCATCTGAAATGTGGAAACTGTTCTCAGCTCACGGGCCAGGCCCGGCCTGCCGGGCGGGGTTTGCTAACCTCTAGGATGTGACTTTCCCCCCAAAGCCTGCCCCTCGCCCCTTCCCACCACCCCGGGCTCGGGACGGCTGACACTGCCCCGCTCCCCCAACCAGATCACTGAGCTCTCCAAGGAAGTCTTCAGTCTAAAGGAGGCACTGAAGGACCAGCCGGCGGCCATAGGCGCTTCCGAGGTGGAGGCCCTCCGTGGCCAGGTGAAGGCTCTGCAGGAGCGGCTGGAGGTGAGGGCTTCACCTGCCGCCCCGCCGGGCCCCGGGCAGGGGTCCCAGGAGGCTGACGGGCAGGCAGGTGGCTGGGCACGTAGGCCACGCGCGGGAGGAAAATCTTTCTGTATTTTAGCAAGCGGCACTGTCACCTGGTGCGCGCCATCCAAACAGGGGCTTGGGCTGCAAAGGAGGCTTTGGGGCGTATCTTGAGGGGGGTCCTGCTCTGCTGAGCGCCTGTCCCCCACACCCACAGGAAGCTGCCAGGGACCACAGTGCAGTGGTGGCTTTGTATAGGAGCCACCTCCTCTACGCCATTCAGGTGAGTTCCCCCGCCTTTGGGCGCAGCATTGCTGCTCTCTGGGCCTCAGTTTCCCCATCTGTACGGTCGGGGGCTGGTGGACGGGAAAGGTTCATGGCCTCCAGGGACGGGAAGGGAGGGGAACGGAGAACCCGGGGAAGTGGGAGGCACCCACGCTCTCCCTCTGCTGCCCTCTCCACAGGGTCAGATGGACGAAGATGTGCAGCGGATTCTGAGCCAGATCCTGCAGATGCAAAGACTCCAGGCCCAGGGCCGCTGAGATCAGAGCCCTGCCCTCTGCCCACAGGCCCCGCCCTGGGGTGTCCAGACTCACGCACTGACCACCCGCACTTGGAGACCGGCCAGGGCCCCTTCCCGACTGTCCCTCACTGTCCGCGTTGCCCCTTGGTCCCTGCACACCCTGGTCAGTGTAGACTCGGGCTCTGACTGTGCCCCTGACCCCCAACCGGACAATCTGTGTGTCCCCTCTCCCACGTCCGGTCTGGTCACCGGGCGCCACCACAGGAATAAAAGCTCACGGAGCAGAGGATGAAAGCACCGTGTGGCCTGGTTGCTGGGCTCCTGCTGCGGGGCGCGCAGGGGCCACCCCCGAGCAGGGATGAGGGGCTCGGGGGAGAGTGAGGCCGGATGCAGTCTCCACGGTGAACGCCACGTGAGCGTTATTTTTGGAAAGTCAGAAGGGACACCCAGAAGTTCATGTTGAACAAACTCTCCGAGTGTTAAGTGGAGACAGGATCTTACCTCACTGCCCTCACCCTAACCCGGCCGGGTGGGTGTGCCCCGCCCCAGCCCCCCTGCCCTGGGGCGGCCCTCCCGGAATCCCTGGGGATTCTCCTTGCTTTCTGGCTCAGGCAGGGGGCAGCCCTGTGTCCAGCCTGTCTCTGGGGTTTCCTTGGTGTCCTGCACTGGCTCAGCCTGTCCCTGGGCACCCCAGGCCCTCAGAGGCTGTCCACAGGGGGCTGCCTCCCCTGGGCCTGTGTTTCCGGCTCCCTGTGGCCTGGAGGGCGGAGCTCCGCGGCGGCGGCGTTGGGGGGGGGTCCCCAGCACTGGGGTTGATGCGTGCACGGGCATCTCCTGTGTCGGTGCCTGGTTCTCTCTGTCTCTCTGTCCCTCCCCCCTCGGCCTTTCTCTGTCTTTCTCTATGTCATCATCCCCCTCCCCGGGGTTCCCCCTCCTCACTGCAGCCAGAAGGAAGGCTCTGCTGGGAAAGGCCATGGGGTCACCACTTCTCCCTTCTGTGGCCTCCTCTCCCTGCCCTCTGTTGGGGCCTTCCATCCCCGAGAGGTGTGGCCAAGGAGGGGACCAGGGGCTCCTCCTCCATCCCTGCTTGACTCTCCACTGGCCCCATGTACTGGGCAGTGAGTCAGAAAGGGAAGGGGAAGTGGGGGGCCTCAACCAGGGCCTGGGCTTCCCCCTGGGTGGGACCTAAGTCCTCTCTCTCCCTGAGGGTTCTCCCTGCCCCAACCCCTAGAAGCAGAGTTCGCCAGAGCCATGGCCGCAGGACTTGTTCTGGCCCTCGCCCTCTGGGTGGGCTGCTCACCCTGCCTCGGGAGAGAAGGTACGTGGGGACCCCAAGGGGGTGGGGGGGCCAGAACAGAGGGACAATGTCTGGGGACTGGACTTTGTCTGCCGTGGGACATTCTGGGTGGATTAGGAGCTCACACACCTACTGTGTACCCCCTGGTGGGAAGGAGTGACCATCCCATTGCATGGACAGGGAAACTGAGGCACGGGGAGGATGAGTCCTACCTGAGGGTGACACCAGGATGTGGCAGCTACAGCCTGGAGGGAGGGAAGCAGAGAGAGAGAAATTTTAGTCATCTGCATTCATTTCATGTGATTAAAAACAAAACTATCACAAAGAAGGGGGTCCAGTAAAATATCTCCCTCCTATCAGAAATCCCCGCCATCCCCAGGTCCCCTCTGTGGCTCCCACAACCTCAGTTTCTCCATCTGGAAAATGGGCTAACAGTTTCTTCCTTGCTGGGTTGTAGCAGGTCTGAGAGAAGAGGTAGACGCCTTTCATTCAGGTACTTATTCATTCCACAAACCCTTATTAGTCACCTACTGTGTTCCCAGCACTGGCTGGCAGCGAGGCAGGGGCTGAGGCATGGTAGAGCTTTGACAGTCCTGGGTGAATCAGAAGTTCACGAGCCTCCCCACTTCTCTCTCTGGGACCCCAGCAGCTCCCACCCAACCCAGGCTACAGTGTCAGGCCTCTAGGTACCCAGTCGCCGTGGACTGCTTCTGGACCCTGCCGCCTGCTCCAGACTCCACCAGGCCCACCTCCTTCATCGCCACGTACAGGTCAGAGAGCGTGGAGGGCTTCCTGGGGATTCCAGGGCTGGGCTGACATGCTAGGATCTGGGCAACTGGAGACTTAATGAGAACCTGAAACCCCTGGGATTCTAGAGCAGGCACCAACCCTTGGAAACATAATCCCTAAGCTACATTCTGCGAACCACGTGTGGAGGGTGAAATTTTCTAGAAGCCACATTTTAAAAAATAAAAAGAAATGGATGACATTGATTTTAATATTTTATTTAAATAATATCTGAATATTACAACTATTTATCATTTAATATGGTTGAATGCAATGTAATTTAATACGCTTATATATGATTCATATATTTAAATTTATACCAGAAGTTGATTTAATATCACTTAATATGATTATCTAAAGTATTATTTCAACAGGTAATCCATACTTTAAAAATTAATGAGTTATTTTACGTTCTGTCTTGTTACACTAAGTCATGGAAATTCCGTGTATGTCTTACGTGATAGCATGTTTCAATTCAGATGCTAAATTTCCATCAGAAATTCTTGGTCTCTGATGAGATTTCGTACAATTTATGTTTGGAAAAGCAGATTCACCCACCAAAGTTGTCCTGAGAAACTTTTCCAAGGCTTCTGATAACTGGAAACTCTTCATTTAGATCAGATAAAATAAGATAAAAAGTTGCGGTTGGTTGCCCTGGCCACACTCGAACTGTGGGGTGGCCACCTGGGGCTGGTGCTGCCCACATCCACATGCAGAAGCCCAACATTTAGGATGGATGCTGCACAGAGCTCCTGGGAGCGTGCTGAGCTCGAGTCTCCAGAGTCTGAAATCTTGGGATGTCAGAACTAGAGAGAATCGGAATCTTATTATTTCAGATTCTGGCGTCTGTGAATTGTAGGCCTGGAAGTACTGGAATTCCAAGGCTGGAGTGTTGACATTCCAGAAACCTTTAGAACTGGACCCTAGCACCTCCCCGTGGGGTGTTACCCTGGACCCTGGGTCACCTGGGCTCTGTGATGTTGGGGTGAGCAGCTCCCCCAGGGACGTGCAGCCAAGCGCAGGACCCCAACCCGGGGCTGCTCACCCCCTGTCCGCACTTGGGGTCCAAGGCACAGGCAGGGCAGCAGGGAGTGCTAGGACCCTCACAGCGCCCGCCCCGTGTCTAGGCTTGGAGTGGCAGCCCAGGGGCAGAGCCGGCCCTGCCTCCAGCCCAGGCCGGAGGCCGCCAGCTGCACCATTCCTGACGTCCAGATGTTCTCCATGGTGCCCTACGTGCTCAACGTCACAGCCGTCCACCGCCAGGGCGTCAGCAGCAGCTTCCTGCCCTTTGTCCCGGAGAACATCAGTGAGTGGGGGTGGCGGTGAGGGTGTGGAGGGGCCCCGGCTTGCTCCTGCTCCTCCCTCCTCTCACCATTCCCCTCCTCCCACCTGTCACTCATCCTGTCCATCTGTCCTGGATCCTGTGGGCCCCGCCTTCATAGCTCATCAAGAATCTGCCCACTTCTCCCCACTCCTGAGCCCCTACCTGGCCAGATATCTATCACTACCTACCTGGACCAGCGCAGTTCCCTCGATTTTGGTACCCCAGCTCTTGCCCTCAACCCCTGTCTGTCTTCCCCACAGCGGCCACTGGAGGGCGCATCTGAGCCCCGAGTCAGATTTTGCCCTAGGCTCCCATTCTCTCCCTCACAGTCTGTCCTCCCTGCAGTGGCCACCAGAGGGCGCCTGTGAGCTCCCAGTCAGGTCCCGCCCCTCTGCCCAAGCCCTCTAGGGCTCCCACTTCCCTTGGGGTAAAAGCCTGAGGCCCCCCGCAGCCCACAGGGCCTTGAATGACCTGTCCCCCGTCCCCTTCCCGCCCTCATTCCCTCCCTCTGTCCCCCTCACTCACTCTATTCCATCCACACCTGCCTCTTCCTTGTACCTCCAACAAGCCAGGCATGGTCCTGCTCCATGGCTTTTGCAGACTGTTCCCTCTGCCTATATTTTTTAAAATTGCAGCCGTCATACATTACTGTTGATTACTAGAAGATAGTCTGGCAGAGTTAGACATAAGCGTTGAACGTAAATTACCACATAACTCCCAGCAACCTCAGTTCTAGGCATGTATCTAAGAGAAATGAAAACACATGTACACAAGTGTTCATAGCAGCACGACTCGTAATAGACTGTAGAAACAGCACAAGTGCCCCCGCAAAGCGCGTCCCTCCACACACGGGAGCGTCGCTCCGCCGTGAAAGGGAGAGCAGCCCTGACAGCCGCCCCCGCGGGGACGGACCCCGAGAGCGCGGTGCTCAGGGAGAGAAGCAGACACCGAAGGGCACGCAGTGTGTGGCTCTGTTCTTAATGAAACATTCAGAACAGGCCAGTCCACAACGAGAGAGAGTGGTTTAGTGGTTGTCAGGGCTAGAGAGGGAGGAATGGGGGGTGACTGCTAAGGGGGATGGGATTTCTTTTGGGAGTGATGGAATGTTCTGGTTTAAATAGTGGTGATGGCTGCACAACTCTGTGGATATACTAAAAACCAATGAATTGTATATTTTGAAAAGGTGAGTTTTGTGGTATGTTTTGTGGCATTTCTGAGACTGTCTCAGAAAACATTACAGCCCGCTCCCCTCTTTGTGCTCCTGAATTCTCTTCCCTCCTTTTTATGACCTCCAAATTTGCCTCTTGTGTGTTGTCTTCTGCTCTGATGGACCGAGAACCCAGAGGACAGGGCTTGGGTTGGGGCTGGCCCTACTGTGTCCCCTGTGTCCCCAGTGTCCAGGACACGGCTGAACACTCAGTAGGCACTCAGTATTTATTGGCTGATTGTATGAATGATTGAACAAATGTTCCTTCCGCTGACCCTGCCTCCTGCTTGTCCGTCAGTCAAACCAGACCCTCCGGAAGGCGTACGCCTGAGCCCCCTCCCTGGGCAGCGACTGTGGGTACAGTGGAAACCCCCCCGGTCCTGGCCTTTCCCCGAGATCTTTTCACTCAAATACCGGCTCCGCTACAAGCGTCATGGAGCTACCCGCTTCCGCCAGGTGAGGAGGACTGGGGGCCGGGGTGGATGGTCCCAGGGCCAGGAAGCAGCGTGTGCAAAAGGTGCAGTGCGCCCGGATCACAGCTTGGGGCGCTAGAGAGCGACATACAGGCAGCCCGGCAGTTTCCTCCTGGGCGTCCACTCAGAAGAATTATAAACAGGGACTCAAATACTTGTACACGAACATTCCCAGCAGCACTAGTCGCAACGACCGAAAGGTGGAAA